GAGTGTGTGGACTATTATCCTTTGTATGAAGTAACCCAATCTGAAGCAAAAAGAACTTTGGAGAACACCACGAGTATCAAAAAGGTTTTAACTTACATGCCAAATATGAAAGGAACTTCTGAATAGATGCAACCTGAGAGGAGCCAAACGTGAATGGCAAAGGGCAAAACGATTCCTAAAGGCAGAAGTCCAAAGAAACAGTCCGACAGAGCCTAACTAAAACCTGCAACACTACAGGCATAACCTCTATTATGTTGCCCGGACTAGTAAAGTCTCAGAAAAATGTTGATAACACAGTATATAATCAAAGCCCATTTGCAGCCTAGCACAAACTGACCGTAATATCATTCAATAGGTTGTGTCTTAGATACAAATCAGACGGTCACTGATAATCAGGATGCTTTGAACCCAGCAGCTTTTATAACAGTGTTCCTATGAAACTCTGACATGATTTCAGCAGCAAGTGATGTCATATGGGGTAAACCTGTAGCTGAACTTAAACCTTTACGTGCTCCCACCCATGACCAAAACCTGGCTAACATTATGACTAACAGAATTTGCACAGGGAGCTACACTACAGATTTGAATCATTCATACTTACAGAAGCAGAAATAACAAACTGGCACAACCCTTCATCTTGCTGAGGGAATTCTGCTGAGAATCATAAGTAGGTCTTTTGGAGGAGGCCTTACCAATTAAGGGCCTACTTGTATGTAAACTGAAAAGAATGACACTTGTTATTAAACCAAGATTTTCTGAAGTATCCCTAATTATAACTTTCTGATAAATATAAAAGGGTGATTCTTACATATTCTCTCTTCTGATAAATGACTTTAAAGGAACATTTTTATGTTGAGAGCTGAAGGACCATTCTTGAGTCAATAATTTCTTAAGTCAAGGAATATGCAACTAAATTATAAGACTCTTAGAATGTGTCAACCTTTGTATTGTTAGTACATAGCACAAGGCTAGGCAGTTAACAAATATTTACTCAATTGAGCTGAAGCGTTTCTCAACTGCAATCTACAATTCAAAAATGTATCCTACTCTTGTTTCTATCACAGGCCACTCTCCATGGAAAGTGATGTTCTGAAGATAAAGATAAAAGATATCAGGAACAACCAGGTGGCCCAGTTGATAGAGCTCCGGCCTTGGAGTCAGGAGGATGTGAGTTCAAATCCGACCTCGGACACTTGACATTTACTAGCTGTGTGACCTTGGGCAAGTCACCTAACCACAACTGCCTCACCAAAAAAAGCAAAACTTTTAAAAAAGATATCAGTAGTATTTTGAAACGCAGAGGACTGAAATGTAAAGTATTTTACGAGTAGATTCTCTCAGTTCAAATTTTCTGTTGACTAGATCAAGATGCCCATGAAATAACTGGCTCTCTGTCCCTGGAGGTGTTTGATAACACAAGAGGCTGGACAATGACTTTGTCAGGAAGGATGTAGAAAAGACAGCTGCTTCGGTGGTGAGTTTAGACTAGATGACCTCCAAAGCCCCTTTTTCTCTTCTAAAATCCTCCCCAATTGCTATGAACATGGTTTGCTTCATTAGACAAGAAAAAGTGAATTTACCAGTGATAAATACACTCTGTTAATTATCTGGCTGAATACTGCTTCCTTTTGTTGAAGTGCAGAAAATGGGACTTATCAAGGCAAATGATATTCTACCTCACCAACTCAGCTCCCACTGTGCCCTCTGATGGCATTCCATCCCTCCTACCTCTCAGGAAGAAATTAAGAATATGGTAGGACTGAAAAAGCACTGGATTTTGGAGTCAGAGGGATCTGGGTTTGAGCTTAGGCTCTGCCACTTACTACCAGTGTGGCCTTAAGCACCTCATTTCTCTTCTAGAGGCCACATGTGGAAGAAGAGGTGGACTCACCTAGAGAAAATGATTTCTAAGATCCCTTTTAAATCTAAGGGGAAAAATTCTATGAGAAGATACAATGATATTTATTTTCAAGTATATGAAAGATTGTTGCATGAAAGAGGGAAAAAAGAAAACTAGGAGCAACAGGGTCATAGTCATAGCAGAAGATCTTCATTAAATATAATGGAAACACTTCTCCACAATCAAACTGTTGTGTAAAAATGAGCTGCCACAGAGGAAGTGAGTTTTTCAACACCAGGGCTCTTTCCACAGGGGCTTCAGCTCCAGGATATTCTGTCACAGATTCTTGATCAGGTACAAGTAAACAAGGTGACCTCTGGGGTCCTGCTAACTCAAATGTTAGGAGCATGGGAGGTCAAGAAGATGAAAAGGAGGTAGAAGTTGGGGTAAAACATATGTTTTACCTAGGGAGAAGGAATGAAAAGGACCTGGGGAGGAGGAAGGATAGGAAGGTTCTGGGGAGGTGAGAGGATAATAAAGTCCTGGGGAGGGAGAAAGATGAGAAGATTCCAGGGAGAGGGAGGGAATGGGAAGGTGGGGGGGAGGGATTGAGAAGGTACTAGAAAGGGGGAGGGGCATGAGGTGATTGGAAGGGCGGAGGCTATGAAAAGGTTGTGGGAAAAGGAAGATGATCCTGGGGAGGAGGAGGGATGAGAAGGTCCTGGGGAGGGATGAGAAGGACCTGAAGAGAAAGATGGCGATGAGAAGGTACTAGGAAGGAGAAGGTTTGAGAAGGTACTGGAGAGAAAGAAGGATGACAAGGATGCCAGGGAGGAAGATGAGAATGAGAAGGTCCTGCGGAGGGGGAGGGATACAAAAGGGGATGGAAACAAGATGCAGATGTGGGGGAGAAATGACAAGATGCAGGGGGTGTGGTGTGAAGGTGCTGGGAAGGGGAAGGAGAATAAGAAGGTCCTGGGGCAGGGAGGAGAGATGAGAAGGAGGGATGGGGGGTTCGACAAGGTGCTGGGAGGAGGAAGGATGGGGGGAGGGGTGACAAGGTGTTGGGGAGGGGAGGGATGCAGAGGGGGATGAGAAGGTGCTGGAGAGGAATGGGGGAATGACAAAGTACTAAGGAGGGACAGAGATGCAGGAGGATGACAAGATGCTAGGGAGGGGAGGGATGCAGAGGGGATGAGAAGGTGGTGGGGATGTGGGGATGACAAGGTGGTGGGGAGGGGGTGATGCCAAGGTTTGGTAAGGGGGGGTGAAAGGGTGCTGGGGAGGGGCATGACAAGGTGGGGGGTGACAGGGTGCTGGAGAGGGCAGATGACAAGGTGCTGGGGGCAGTGACAGGGTGCTGGGGAGGGAGGGATGCCAACGTATGGGGAGGGGGGATGACAGGCTGCTGGAGAGGGGGGGTGACAGGGTGCTGGGAGTGGTGACAGGGTGCTGGGGAGAGGGGATGACAGGGTTGCTAGAGAGGGTGGCAGGGTGCTGGGGAGGGGGGGATGACAGGGGTTGCTAGGGAGGGAGGGTGGCAGGGTGCCGGGGAGGGGGATGACAGGGTGCCAGGGAGGGTGGCAGGGTGCCTGGGGAGGGGGGATGACAGGGTGCTGGGGGGGGAGGGTGACAGGGTACTGGGGAGGGGGATGCCAAGGTGCTGGGGGTGGTGACAGGGTGCTGGGGAGGGGGGATGGCAGGGTTGCTAGAGGGGGTGGCAGGGTGCTGGCGAGGGGGGATGACAGGGTGCCGGGGAGGGAGGGTGACAGGGTGCCGGGGAGGGAGGGTGGCAGGGTGCCGGGGAGGGGGGATGACAGGGTACCGGAGGGGGGATGACAGGGTGCCGGGGAGCGCAGGGAGGCTGGGTCCCCGCCCCCGGGCCGCGGCGCTCACCCAGTTGCCGAAGCCGAACTGCTCGATGGCATCGAGCAGGAGCTGCTCCTCCCGGCTGGTCCAGCCGCCCTCGGCCTCTGGCCCCCACAGCGTGAAGCGGCCGCCGTCAACCAGCTGATAGCCGTGCCAGCGCCGGTGGTGGCCGATCTCGGCGCCGGCCGAGAAGCACTCTGGGCACAGCTCGATGTCCTGGCACTCGGTGCAGCGGAAGCGCAGCGGGCTCACCTCGGCCAGACAGTACACACAGTACTTCTTCCCCAGCTCCGCCATCTTCCCCCGCTCGCCCGCGACGGTCCCGCCGACGCCGCCGACCGAGACGCCGCCACTTCCCCCGGCGGACGAGGGCGGGTACGATGAACAACCGCCGCCGCCGCCGCCGCCGCCGCCGCCGCCGCCGTCGCCCGCCGCGGCTGCCGGAGCCGCCACCGCTGCTGCTACCGCCAAGGCCCAAGAGCCGCCGGAGCCAGCCAGCCGAATGTCTCGTCTCAGTACGCAGGCGCCATCAGACCCCGTCAGTCCGCCGTCTTCCCTCCTCCGCATCGCGCAGGCGCTTAGCACCAATCAGCGCGCGGCGCAAGCGTGAAATCCTTTAATAACCTCCTCCCGCCCCCGACCCTTATAGAGGAGAGACAGTTCTAGTATCTGCGTCTGCGCATTCCCTTTTCCCTCCTCCCCCCCGCGGCTTTCCCGACTTTTTTCTTCCCTGCGCCTGCGTCCTTCTCCTGGTCGCTCCCAATCCCCGAGCGAGTGAGGAGGGAGGTGTGGGCCGTTAGCCGACCGCGCTTCTTTTGTCACGCCCCGCCCCGCCCCGCCGTCCCCGCCCCCGTCCAGTCGGCCCTCCCTCACGCTCCGCGCCTTAGTGGCCTCCCATTGGCGGGCGAAGAAGGAGAAAAGCCAATCGCTGCGTCGCCGCCAGCGCCTCTGGTTGCCCCGGGAAACCAAACGGAAGAGGAGAAGCCGATTTTCCTCTGCCCTGAGTTCGGTTGTGAGAAAGAGGGGTGCGGATGTAGAGGGAAGGGATGGAACTGATCGAGGAGACGCCCGGAAAGGCCCAGGCTCCTTTGGAAACTGAGGAGCAAAAGAGCGTGGAGGTGCCCGATGCCTCCGAGGCAGGGAACCCGGACGGCGGGGGGCCGGAGGAAATGGCTTCGAAGGCCGAGCCGTCGGAGGGCGGAGAGGGCGGCGAGGCCGTGGAGATTGAACCAGCAAGCATGGAGGAGGCAGAGGAAGCCGAGGAGGATGAGGCCGAGGCCGAGAAGGATGAAGGAAAGGCGGCGGAGGAGGAGATGCCGCCAGCCTTCTCCGACGCCGGGGAAACCAGCGCGGGCGTGGTCCCGGAGTCGGTGGAAGGCCTCGACGACGACGACGACGACGACGACAGGCTCTCGAGAGACAAGGCGAGGTGGGCCCTGAGCGAGGAAGTCGCGGAGAGCGACGAGTCCTTGGACTCCTGCGACAGGGACGAGGACGCTACGAGCAGGAAGAGGAGGCCGAGGAGGCCTCCGACGAGTTGCTGAAGCTGCAGGAGCAGCAGCTGCGCGGCGAGCTCATGGAGCAGTATCACGGGCTGCTGTCAGAGCGCAACCGGATCCACCAGTACAACATCCACCTGCAGCACAAGATCTCCCAGGCCCTGCGCAAGAAAAAGAGCGCCGAGCCCGGCGTGGAGGTGACGGAGACCGCCCCCGTGGAGCAGGACACCCCCGAGAAGGAGCAGGCCTACCAGCGCTACCTGAGCTCGCTGGAGGAGCTCAAGAAGCAGCACAGCGAGGACGTGGACTGGTACCAGCACGAGCTCGAGCAGCTGCGGCAGCACTGCCTGGAGAAGGTGGCCCAGGTGGAGAAGGAGTGGAAGGCCTTCCAGACCCTCAAGAGGCAGGTGATGCTGCAGGCCATGGGCAGCTGCCTGGCGGGCGGGAAGCCGGCCGCCCTGCGCGAGGTGGAGCAGATCCAGGCCAACGAGGACCGCAAGGAGAAGGAGATGAGTGCCGCGCGCCTGGAGAACGTGCAGCTGAAGCAGTCCTTGCTGCTTCTGGAGGCCAGGATGAAGGCGCAGGAGCGGATGACGGAGGGGCTGCACCTCATCGACTTCGAGCAGCTCAAGATAGAGAATCAGACCTTCAACGAGAAGGTGGAGGAACGCAACGAGGAGCTCTTGAAACTGCACTACAAAGTCACCAGCAACGTCCAGATAATCAGCCACGTGAAGGAGAAATTACAGTTTGTGGAACTGGGGAACTTGCGCCTCAAGTCGGAGCTTATGGATGTTGATGCTCAGGTGGCCCAGAAGAGGGACATCTTGACCAAGACTAAGAAGGCCAGAGACAGCCTGCGAGTAGATAATGTCAAGTTACATCAGAAGTGTGGACTGCTGGGCAAAGAGGTGCTCCTTCGGGACCTGGAGCAAAAAGTGGACCAGACTGAGTTGCTCAGCCAGCGGCTAGAAACACTTAAGCGTCAGCATGCTGGGCTGACACTCACTTGCAAAGGACTGAAACAGAAAATAAAGGAATCCAAAGCATTCCTGCCATCCTGAACATCAGAAACAACTGATATAGATCTTCAGCAAAACCTTTTCAGTTTTCATAAGGAACTTAACCTTTAGTGGACTTATTTTTCAATAGGTGCCATTCTTTAACAGGCCTGTGGTAGTTAGGACAAAAAAAAAACACCTATATTTATTGAAATATGTAGCTTAAAATAGATTAGTGCCAGACACTAAGCGGAGACAACTTATTTTAAATGGGTTGAACATCTTATCAATTTAAAACAGGGTCAAAGAAGCCAAGTACTGTGGTTGACTAAAAATTATCTCTTGACTGAAGAGTAGAAATAAAGGACAAGCTAGTTCTGAACATTTCACCATTGCAAATCATCAGCCACTACAGAATTTTCATTTCACTTTGATGAAAGTACACAGAGAGGACCAGAAACCTCACCTGTGAAAAGAGGCAAGGGGGGGGGGAGGTAGAAGAATAGAGAAAACTAACTTTACTCCCATGCATAAAGTGAATTATTAAATTTTTTCTAAAATTTTTGAGTCACTCAACTAAGCCCATTAAGTAAATATAAAATGCCTCTTAAATTATTCATAAATATTTTAGATCTACCAGTCACTTAACTAGTCTATAAGATGTAATTTACAGACAAAAAAAATTAGCAGAAAAATGTGTTTCTTTTCCTCAGATGTACGTTTTCTTCTTGGCCAGGACTACTTCTCTAAACGATACTGGCATTAGTCTAAGCCTTAAATTAGGGCTCCTTTTCTCTTGCATTCTCTAAAAAAAAAAACTACTGGTCTGTCAAGCAATTTGATCAAGGAGGTTATTTACAATGGAAAAGATGGACAAGAAGAAGCATAGTTTAATGGATAAAGTCAGTATATTCTGCTTTAAGTAACCTTCTGCACATTGTCCAGAAATGTATAAAGGGGGAAAAAAATACCTTTTTTTAAAGTAAAGGTTCTCAAATCTTGACAGCAGGAGCCAAAATATTTCTTACTTAAAAAAAAAACCCATTCTCTATATTACATTACCAGATGCATGTTATAAGCAATCTAGAATCAATGAGATTGAATTTAGTTCTTAGACCTCTGGGGGAACTGGAGATGTCATGGGATGGGTTCCCCACTCGTGACCAAGTCATATGGATTATATCAAAAGAGAGGTTTGGAAAATCCTAGTTTAGAGTTAGACTTTTTTGGTCTTGCAATTTTTGAATATTCCTTTTCATAATATCAGAAGCACCCTCTTGGTGGTATAACTTATGTTCTATTTGGAGTTAATAAAGATGAATTGAAACTTCTAACGACTTTCCTTCCATGCCTTAAAAACATTTTGTAATCATGCCGTTAATGGATCGTGCTCTTTTATTAATACAAAGTTCAATAGTTCATTTCACTGGTAGCTTACTTTGCATTGCTTCCTACCCACAGTCCCACTTTCTTCTTTCCAGCTTCATCTGGACCTGAAAAGTGAAAGCCTTTCACAGAAACCATTCATTTGCAAACATTTTTCTTTGTGCCTCAAGGTATCAAGATACATCCAAGCAAGTGAATTGGCACACAGTGCTGAATACTACAAAATGAAACTTACAATTAATACTATGAGTGACCTACTCTGCAGAAGCTGGTACATGGTAATAAGGCTGTCCATTTATGGAGAAAATGCAAAAGTATGAGGACATGCATTTTAAGTTGATTTTTAATTAACAGTTGTACTTAGCTATCAGGAAGGACAATGTAGTAGATAGAGCATTGGGCCAGGTCTAAGTTCAACCCTAACTCTACCAAGGTGTGATTTTGGACAGTCAGTCACCTCATCTCTTTGAGTTCCTCTGACTGACATCTACAAAATGGGGATCAAACTCTTTGACCTCAGTCAGTTAACAAGTATTAATTGGACTCTTACTGTGTGCCAGGCACTGTGTGCTAAGTGCTGGGAATACAAAGAGTAAAAACATTTCTTTCCCTCAAGAAGCTCACATTATGAAAGAACATACAAGTGCATACAGAAAAAATTTATACCGGATAAATTGGAGGTTAAGCTCTGAAGGAAAGCTGTGGGTGGGGGGTTGGAGTTGCCTCTTGCCGAAGGTAGGATTTGAAGGAACCAGGAAATGGACAAGTCAGGAAAGCATTCTAGGCATGGGGGAACAGCCAGTTAAAAAGTCACAAAGATCATAGATGTTCACTGCATTTAACGAATGAGGAAAACGAAGTCCAGGGAGTTTGTGACATCAAAAGTCATACAGGTATGAAGTATCAGAGGCAGGATTCTCTTGGGCTAATTGTCAGGTAAGGTAATGAATATGTAAACTCTTTAATGGCAAAGAATTGTATACATACATACATACATACATACATACATATGTGTGTCTGTGTGTATACACACACACACACACAGAGTTAAGTAAGGTAACAGAGGTATCTGATGAACTTGGCTATGTGCCAAAGCCTAAAGTGTTTAGATATCTTGACCAGGATATTATGTAGAGAATTAATGTTGCTCACACAAGAGGGAAACTTTTTAAGATTTATAAATGGATGTAAGGTTATTAAGAAATTCTGTGACAAAACTCTACAGTGTATATACTGTTATGATACAGAATTGGAAGTGAAAAATACCCCATACATTATTATTAGCCTGTAAGTGGGGTTTTGACAGCACTGATCAAGGGCAGGAGTGAACCCAGAGTCCAGACAAGAGGTATGAAAATAGAAAACACTGACTTCAGTTGAAAATGAAACAAAAAACATTAATGCATTAGAGATATTAAGAGGCAAAAAAGGAACATCTCAATTGTCTATAGTGATTTGATTTACTGAGCTTGTCCGACAGTCACAAGTGCTGCTGGTGTGTGATTTCTCTGTCTGGACTTATTGAAGTTCATTTATCCTCACCCTGGTTTGAGTATTTTAACATTTAAATTCCATTCAGTAATATACTGACACACAGATGTTATGATGAAAGGTCTATTTCTAAGGCAGTGGGGGGAGAGAGGGTGAAGGTACCTGGTGCAGGGGCATAGTGTTAAAGTCTGGAAAGTTAGAGACAAATGAAGAGAAGGCTAGCCTAAGCCTCTCCCAAAAAGGGAGACCCCAGAAAGAACTCACTAGGAGAAAGGGAACTGGCTCAACAGAGGGATGTTCCAGGGTGAGGCAGCTGTAGAGAAAGGGATGAATGTTTCAGGGTTAAGACTACAGATGAGGCATGGTATTGAAATCCACAAAATCAGGGGCACAGACATGAGTAAAAAATGCATGACACCAACACTTTATAAATAGGAAGAAAAAAATGAAACTTTATGGTAAGAGGTGGAAGACAGACTACAAGTGTGGAATACTGCACATACTATAACTGGGTTGATGTGTTATCCTTGTTTAGCTACTTTTTCCCTTTTTAATTTGCTACATGGGATGGCTGGCTGAGCAGAGGTGGGTGGGGGGGATATATTTAGACATAAAAGGGAAAAAAGATAATTTAAAATATGAAAAAAGAGAGTCTGGAGTAGATGTTCTGAGGTTTTGTCAAGATCTAATTTTCCAAGATTTTGAGGAACAAAGTATTACTGGAGCACCTTTTAGGTACAGTGACATCTCTAAAGAGAGTTTTGTATCTGGTCATATTAAGTTTGAACCTTTTGTGCATCAGTTTTCCACAGACTGTCATGGGAACTGAACTTGTATAAATATTATCTCTTCCTATCTAAATATGGTCCAAAGTGAGAAAGAAGGGTCGCTCTCACTTAGAAAACTTCCCAGGGATCAGGTTTCTGAATAGTATTTATGTTAACAAAGTCTAAGATCCCCCCACAGAGCGACTCATGGAAATTCACACCCCTTAGTTCCATAGTGATAGGGGCCCTAATATTAGAGGAAGGAAAGTAAATCTGGCCCAGAACAAGTGAGTGATAAATGATCACATGACAGTTGAAAAAGACTTTAGCATTTAGTTCAACCCTTCATTTGCAGAATGTAGAAAATGAGCAGAACTGGCTTTTAAAGATATATAGATGTAGATATAAAATACATATATATAAATAAAAATACATAAATATAAATAACAATATAGGCCCTTTAGATGGGTGGATTTGGTAGGGCTCTCCTCCTTTTGGGAGTTGGGAATGGTGCAAAATATTTGTGAAATGTCCATATTAGAATCAACATATACTCAATTTTAACTCTCAAACTCATGTTTTATGTAAGACCTTATTGCATATGTTCTTTCCCAGCATATAACTATATTTTCCTTCCTTTCAAAGAGATCTCATTTTAAGGGGGGAAGGGATCTCAAACTAATATAGCAATACAGATATCCCCTTAAAATCAATTTAGTTTTCTCCAAATACTGGGAAATATTTGCCTGTGCCCTTGAAAAGAAAGCCCTTATCTACCTTTGTAATAAAACCTATTGAAAATTCAGACAAAATATAGTAAGTTATTTCTAATCTCGAAGATAAGAATGTAATCTTTCAGCTAAAGTGTATGAATAATGGAAATAAAGTAATTTTACATGACTTTTATTTAATAAAACCACGTTATTTACAGTCCAAAAAGTTTGATACACTCACCTAAACAAAAATGGATAACTGTACAAGCCATCAAAACATGATCTGTAGTAAGTGTATCAAGAGTCTATAAGGAATTTGAATTAAGACATTGAAAAATATAAGTAGTTATAAAGTACCTTTAAAATGAACTTTCTTTTAAAACTAAATAAGACATTCTGACTAATGACTGAAAATGCCAAATTTGTTCTCTACTATAAAGTGCAGGTTGCACAAAATCCCAAACATGAGACGTCTTAGATTCTGGAACTGAGCAGCACATAAAGTGAAAAATGCAGACTTCTGAAATGGTGCAGCATTTCAATATTTGTTTTCCAGTTATTCTTAAGGAAAAGCCTAGTTCTTTTGGATGGGGACATCTGCTGAAAAGAGGGCAAGTCCATCTGCCTTACAGTTTAAACTTCCCAACACTTGAACCGTAAAAATTAAGTTGGCAAAATCTTAGGTGATCACTGATTTGGTTATGAAAACTATTCTTCAGAACTTGGGACTGGGTAAGTAGTCCAATCACAGGGTGTCAAAGACTCCTATGCCAATTTCACATGCATCAATAATTCTATCCAAAGGAGTATTTTTTCCAAATTAGTCTAATGAAAAAAAGTTAAACAGCTGAATTTTTAGACAGGTGAAAAATTTCACAAACGGTGCAAAGCTCATTATTGCATCACTTTTCTTCATTACTTAACAAATATTTATGTACACCAAGAAAAGATAGAAAATATATACATCCTCAGAGATCAGAAATCCTAAGTCATTGAACAAAAATAATTACATCTGTGGGTAATTAACAGTGCACAAGTTCTGCGGCAGGCCCTTGGTCACAACCATGCCACTTTCAGTCTGTGTTACATTCAACATCTTGATTTTAGGAAATAGGCATCTGCAGGGGTTAGGGGCTAGAACAGTTGGTAGGGCATCCAATGGAAAAAGAATGCCTTCTCAAAAAAATTAAAATTAAAGATAAGCAAGTCATCTTTTTAAAGGCTGAGGCAAAAAGTGACATCAACAGCACATGACAAATCTCACTGGAGGAAAGAGTCAGCATTTTATAGCTGAACACATATCTAAAAAAGTTCATTCCAAAAAAGGTAACAAACCACACATAGTGCAAGTTAGGCATACTATGACTTCAGAAGTGGATACCTCACCTGAAGATCTATTGACTTTCTAGTTGTCTATTGCATCTAGGCAGATAGAAAGACAGAAGTAGCAGATTTGGAAAAACTATGGAAATAACACCATAGTCAGGTTTGGATGGGGCTGACTTCTGATATACTCAAAGAGATCACCCACTAATAGCAACAATCTACTTAAGAGAAATACGTAGTTGGAATGAGAAGTGTAAATAAGAGTAAGCGTCCTTTTTCTTGTATGGTGTGATAATACTCCTCAAGCACTTAGGGGAATGTCAAGTGACATCACAATATGCTCTGGACTGGTCAAAACAGCATTCTAAGAAACCAAGAAGTTGATGGATCACTGGGCGTTGTGGGGGAGGAAGGGGGAGAGTCATGGATTCACAAGGGATTATCATCCATTTATAAAACTTTTGTCCAAAAAAATCCTGACCGTTTTATGCAAGTGGAATTACTGAAGCTCTTAATTACATTATTAGGAAAACTGTCTGAAGGTAACAACAGACATAAAGGATTCTTATATCCTAGTTCAGAGCTATTAGGTATATATTGCTTCATTCTTCTGTGATGATGACAATTTCTAAAGCGCATGATGCCATACATAGAGGTAATCATGGGCACTTATGATTTATTCTGACATTCAGCTGAGGAAGTCAGGGAAAGAAGTGGCCTTTCCCTCATGCGTGACCCCCTGTTGTGGGGTTTTCTTTTTGTTTGTTTCTGTGTCTGTCATATAACTTGCATTCATACAGATATTGTACAGTCATCTCATATGGTTGTTTCTTATGTTTCTTTCAACAAATAAAGGCTGTTTATGTTCTTCCATCCACCAAGTTTTTATTTCCTCTTGGTATGATTGCCAATAGAGCAGAGGAACACTTTCCGGGAGAACTTGGTACTCTTTGGATATTAAATGTGTCACTTCAACCCAACACATATGCTAAGAAACTTCATGAAGGCAACTTGGTAAAACTCTAAAACAAGCAACAGGTCTCTTGCCCAATAACGTGTAGCTCTTTTGGTTGTATCAATACACAATCCCATTATCACTGAATGTTATCTTTGGTAAATGTATTTTTAAAATATGACCCAGAGTTTTGGGGGGAAAAATAGCTAGTGAGATTAATACCTTCCTTAATGAAAACATGCAAACATGAACTGGTGTCACAGATTAAGAGATCTTCAAAAGCACATTTCTTAAGCATTTTGGCTACAAA